TGTCTTTGAGCACTCACATCCTGTGACATTTTCTTCTTATGAGTGTTCATTATACTTACTCTATATTTCTCTCTCGTTTATTCAGAAGTTTTCTTGTCTTTAATTATAGAACACCCACCCACCCCCATCTTTTTTTCCTGTGACCTTAACTTATTGAAGAGCCTGGGCCAGTTATACCAAAGAACTTTGAGCCCTATCCTGGTGTCATTTAACTTATTCCTTCATCCCCTCTATTCTTGTAAGCCAGCACATTAAATCAGTCTTCTTTTCAGCTTGCCATAGCCCAAGTCCTTGTCTCGTGATTATAATATTAACATGGCTCTAATATTGGGCTTCTTCCAGTCCCTCTTCTACAACTCAACTGAGTGATTTTTCAGACTGAATTACAGAATTACAGAATTACTTATTTGCCTATCTTCTCCTCTATTTGACTATGAACTACAAGTTCACAAAGCTAGGAGATGGTTTCATGTATCTGTAGGGGTACCTACTTCAGCTGATGATGTAAATTCTGATGGCTCAGAAGTCCATGATCAGGCTGCTAGCATGGTTGGATTCTTCTGGTGATGGCTGTTTCTTGGACTACAGACTGCTGACTTCTCACTGTGACCCCACGTGGTAGAAAGGCAGAAATTATTTAAATGATTTGTTAATGATTTGTGCTATATATTTTGATAGGTAGTGTTTAAATTCTAATTTCTAGAAGAATAAAGATTATGTTAATTTCTTTTGATTTTTGAATATTTTAATTATCTTACCTCAAATAATTGTTAGTAGCTGCACAAATTGAGTCTGAAAATCAGTGACCTAGCATAGTATATATTTGCATGAAGTGGAGAAGATTTGAAAATACAACTTTACTTGTTCTTAGACCTTAAAAGGAAATTTGCCCCTGTACTCTCCTATACTTAACACCATCTTTATCCCCAAAATATGCTTTAATTACCCAGGACTGTGTAACTAATGGATAGTTCTTTAGGGGCTGTGCATTTAAAAGTCATGTGGAAAGGTTTCTGAAATGTCCTGTGTTTTCTTAATTATCTCAAATGTCTTCTATTTCCATTTTTAAAAATACATGAGAATAGGCCACCTCCATTGGGCTAAATATAATAATATACAGGAAAAATGACCTGTGGCTGGTGCTAGTACTGCTCCAATCCATTGGCAGTATGAAGGATTGAAAAGAGATGTTATCATTGATTCAGACTTATTTCTAACACTGTATTTAGAGGACTGGCTTTTCATGGAACACTTCTTTTCTTTTTTCACTTTTCAATATGAAGAAATGTTTTACACAAAGAATATGACCAAAGAATATCGAGCCATCATGTTTGAGTGTAGAGACTAGGGGAATGAAAGAGAATGAAATACTATTGAGTTCAAATGGCTACTTTTGACTATAAGCAGGTTTTAAAGAACATCAGAATCAGATGGGACGAGGAAGATGGGTTCCTGTAAATCCAGATAGCTTTGAAGCAGGTGAGGAGAAACATTTTGGTGAAAGGTTTCTTCTAAACATTTGAAAACAGTTGTCAGGTAGTACAGGAAACCAAGTTAATTGAGTGATTTTATATCTTTAGGAAAGGAGTTGGTTCATTGCAGACCGAGTCACCATTAGAACAGTTCTACCTCTAAGCATTACCTAGTCAATCTTTCCGTCATTTGTTTATATTGAATAAAGAAAACTTTTTAGACTGATAACCTGATTTAAAATTTAGAGCCTTGGGGTATTGCAGAATGATGCTTTTGCTGTAAGGAAATTTACTGGAAAAATGACAGTACTTGTAGACCCCTTTTCTCTGGGGTCTTCTCTTTTCCTGTGAGGGATAAACAAGTGTTAAGGAACTCAGGATGGGGAAATGTGTTTTGGGGATGAGGATGTTTCACCATTCAGCACCCGTATTTTCATCTAAATCATCTGATTTTAATTTATATCTCACCTTGCCTTCCCCCTATTTTTGATGCCTTGAGTTGGAGCTTCTCTGATTTCATTTTTGAAGATACTGTATCTGTGGACTTCTTTTGGAGTAGGGAAGGGAATCTAGAAAGTTCTAATCGTTCCTTACACAGATTCTCAGCTAGTTTTCCTGTTCTGAGTTCTGTATCTCTCTTCTGTCTTCTTCGTGGCCTGATGATTGTAGGGTTCTGAGAACCAGATCTGTTAGACTGTTAATCCCCTGGCAGTCAGTTTGGTTTCAGGCTTTTCTGTTCTGCCAAGTCACTTCCCACTCTATCCACCTGCCATCTTTCAAAAACTTGTTGCCACCTTTACCCATTGTAGTTTCTCTTCTTTATAGACACTGAGGGGTTATTTCTTTGCTTTTTCTATTTCTTTACTCTGCTTTTAGTGGAATTTCAGAGGGAGCCAGCAGATACTAAAATTGTTTTCACAATGTCAGTATGCTTCTAGGGTAAATGATTTTATAATAAAGATGCAATAAGGTGTTTGCAGCTGAGTAATTTGAGTAATATTATCTGTTTATCTTTCTACAAAACTAAGACTGAACTCAGCTATTCCATATGTATTTCCTTGTTCTCTAGAAACATTGTCATCTTATCTTTCCTGGCAATATCCTTTAATTTAGACTTTATAAATTTTCTTGAGGGGGGAGTTAAACATTTTGATAACTTACTCCAAATCCTACAAATTCTTCATCTTCAGAAGATGATTTACCTGCCACTTAAATTATAAGATTTTCCCCTTAATCAGTCCTAAATGTTTGACTTGAAGCAGCACAACAGTTTTCAAATACTAGAGACATTGAAGGTCTTTTCTTTTTTCTACATGATGAATGATGTTTCATGGAATCTTATGTAAAAATGACATTTTATTACTTGAACAGCAGCTGGTATGAAGGTTAGACTAAGAAGATAACATTTGGAGAGAGAAATAAAAAAAGATCACCATTTGTATAAACATTTTATTCTGTCCTACAGGGAATATAATGATATAAAATTACTTAATTCTTACAGAAACCATATTTATAACTCATTCTTTAAAGTTATACAAAGTGATAAAACCAGTGAGAAATAAAATTCTTTCTGCAGTAGCTGTTTATTTAATTGTGGTATCTTCAGCATGATCTGCCAGGGTAGATTTTGGCAAATATTATCAAAGTAAAGAAATCTCATCATTTTTTTTCTTATGCCACTTAAGAAATATTTTGATTTTAGAAATTAGTTCTCTGAAAGTACTGCAGAATTCTTTTGTTGCTTCATGATTTTCTATAAATGATCATCAACATTTGTTATAATTGTCCTGTTTCTATTTTTTTTTAGGTGCTGTGGTAGAATATTTTTATAATAGAGGAAATAAATGTGTTATAAATAAATAAAATTAGGTCATAGAGATACTGTCTTTGCTGATTATATCTTTATTTCAGTCACACATATTACTATAGCTTTAGTTGTATATATTGCATTTTAATTTGATATTTGCTTTTATAATGCTTATGATTGGTTTTTTAAATATTGCTTACTAGATATTTATTGCAGTAAATCTATAAAGCATCTGTACCATTTATTTCCAAATTAAGTACAAATTGAAGACATTGTGGTATAAATCAGAAGTTAACTAGACTGTATTGCTTCATGGTGCCCTTAGTGTGTTAGTGGTATTTTTCACAGTGCTCCTAGGCTAAAAGAAATACAAATATTTAACTGTTTCTTTTATTAAGTAATTTAATTTATACTCATGTCCTAATAATATAGTATCTATTGGAAAATTATACACAAAAATCTAAAGAAAGAATAATATCTTTATTTCATTCTTAAATAACCATAATTACCGATTATTGTTGGAATGTGTATTGGGCACTACCCAGATTCTTAAACCTTAGAATTACATTGTTTTTTGTTTTTCTGTTGTACTCTGATTTTTTTGGTAGTATGTTCAAGGAAATGAAGTCATGGAAAGGAGTGTAATGTTAAAACTGGGAAGTGTCTTGAGCTAGTAGTTCTTGCAGTGTCTGACAAAAATTTGTGTTTCTCTTCATTTAAAATATTCAGTGAGTTCACTGTGGTGGCATCTTAATTTGCAACACTCAATTTGGGGAACTCAAGTATAAATAATTGTCTTGAGCTAAATGTTTCCTTGACAGTTTATTATTTTTAAAAATGTATTGAAAAAAATGTATTGAATCATTTCTTGGAAAAAATGGAGAAGTGCAAAAGTAGAAAAGTGTGGGAACTCAAGGTTGATCTTTTGTTATCAAAATCCATGAAGTTCAGATTTTGATAATAAATGAATTTTTAAAAAGGTGCTTTTAAAAAGTGTAGAAGTGTTTACAAGCAGACCTTCAGACCCACTTTCAATCTACATGATGAGTATACTTGCTTATGTTTTACTTTGTAGATTCTAACTGTATCAATCAGGGTTCTTTAGAAAAATAGAAGCAGTTCTGTGTGAGTATGTGGGTGTGGGTGCGGGTAGGGAGGGATATTGAGGGAACATACACACATCCATACACGTGCACACACATACACACAAATACGAGAAGAGGGGGTAGATTTAAAGAATTGGCTAACATGATTATAGGGACTAACAATCGTAGGACAGGCTGAAAATGAAAATTCAGTATTTCTGTATTACAGTCCTGAGGGAGGATTTCTTTTCTGGGAAATCTTAGTTTTTGCTCTTAAGGCTTACCCCTGAATGAAGCGCAACCCACATTCTCTATGGTAATCTTTTTAAAGTCATCTAATTGTAAATGTTAATCACATCTACAAAATACAACTTCTAGACTAGCCTAGGTAAGTTGAACAAATCTGTTTGGCTCCCAGAATTAATTGGCTCTCAAATTAATTAGTCATTTTCTGGTTTTGATCAAAAAAAATTTTTTTTCCAGCTCAAGGCTTGCCCCAGATTCTTGTGTGCCAATTCTGTAGTTTGCTAGAATTGAACTTTAACCATTCCTTATAAGGTTTTAGCCTTTAACAGTACTTATCCACAAGTAAATAGCATTTCAAATATTCTGAGATGCCTCTTGGTCTTTTTTCAGATGGACCAGCTTTTGGGAAATATGATTGAAATGTGGGTTGATCGCATGGACAATATTACCCAGCCTGAAAGAAGAAAACTTTCAGCTTTGGCTTTGCTTTCTCTTCTGCCATCTGATAATAGGTGAGGAAATGTTTTCGTAAAATTTGTTTCGTTAAAGCATCAAAATATTAGCACTGTTGTGACCTTTGGCATTGCTGTATGTTGCTGGGCAGTGTTTTATGCATATGTATGCTAATTTTGTTAATAATGATGTGGCAAGTGTTGGTCTAGATCTAAAAAGATGTAAATGAGAGCAATGAGTACTGTTTAACCTGGTTGTATTCATTTTACCAATTTATTTCATTCTTGTCTGAATTCCCATTTTTTAAAATATTAAGATTTTATTAGACTTATTTTAGGTCCTCTTTTATATAAATATATTAAATATATAATATTTCAATGTCAGTAGAACTTCATAAAATATATTATCCTTCTGGTAATTCAAAAGTATGCTATACAAATTTGTTATTATTTATTATTTATTTTGGATTATCTTTAAAGAAGCTTACCAGTTGTTTTTTTTTCTTTATGTAGATGAAGTCATTAAGTATACTTTACAGCCTCTGTTAAAATTTTTATTTCTGTAAAGCAAATACAAAATGCTTTCATTTGGACATTTAAAGATTTTTTTTTTCTTTTATCCCTGTTTTTATGGAGTTTGACATTATGTACTTTTGGATTTTTTGTTTTTGTTTTTGTTTCTTGGTACTTTTAATTTTAAAGGCATGAAAGCAGGCCTTAAGGCTTGATTGCTTGTGAAAAGAATAATGATAATATATTAGATCATTTTGTCTTAGAGAATTTTTAGAGTACATACAACCTAGTGATAAATTAGTGAAGTAAGTCCAGGTAGCTTTAGAATTTCTTTTTTTAAATTTATGTGCTATTTCTAGTATGGTGATTTGGTGGATTAAGAACACAGGAAATTGTTTTGTCCTAAAACGATAACAATAGGTAATAATTTTTGAGTGCTTACTGTTACTCAAAAACTTGGGTTCACCTTTCAGTGGATGTTGAGCCAAAAAACACAACCACGCCAAAGATTGGAAGAAGGTAGGAATTATTACCTGTAGCAAGTAAGGAGAACACTGGGGATCTTTCCCAAAGCAGCGGGGAAGTTTTGGGGAAGTTTCAAGCTAAGGGTACATACATATTCATGAAGAGGCTTGGGCAGTTGACCAGTCCAAGCTTTAGTTGACTGAAGGTTCAAAGGAGATCTAAGTCATCATCCCTCAGGTTCCTGTTGATCTGGGGTTGAATGCCTAGGGCTGGGGCGGGTGGTGGTGGTTGAATTCTATAAAACATCTCAAGAAAGTGCTTCAGGCTAGTCTTTACTAGTGAAATAGAACTGGGGGTTTTTACTACTGATTTTTTATCTTTGCTATTGCTACTTCTATTGCTTGGTAACAGTTTGCTCTTTTATTCCCTTAAGATCTTTATTACTGAGACCTGTCAAGGCCAAGCTTAGACCACAAAATGACTTAGGCCAAAAATAGCTTCTCTTATGTCAAGAAAGCCATGCCTGGTGCTCTTTCTTCAGGGACTCCCTACCTTATTTGTTTACATTACCGTATGTCTTATATTTTGCTAAGTGCTTTACATTTATATCTCATTTAATTTTTAAACAGTCCTGAATTATACTCATGATTTTCCTCTTTTTATAAAGCAAGGAAATAAAATTAAATAACTCGTCTAGGGTCTGGCATGTGGCATGTCATAGAGCAAATTTTGACTTTGGGCAGATAGATGGCAGGGCTTGCGCTCTTAACTGTCAGGTGTTGCTACTTCCCAGGTTGATGTGCACAAGACCTGTGTAGTTCCTCACTGTGAAACTGAGTGGCATCTTATTTTTGGAAACCAGATTCAAGTTACCAACATTTAGCTTACTGCTCTGTCCCTTTCTCTTAGTGGAAAAATAGGGACTTGAGAATTATTTAGGCCTTTAAAATGTTAATGTTAAAGAACCTGGTTTTTGGCAGTAGCCAGCACTCTATAAACATTTGCTGAATAAATGCTAATAAATTAATGAATGGTAAAAGATATTAAGGTTAGTAGAGCATGTTAGAGTTTTCTTTAACATACAGTACTGAGGTTATTTGAGGGAAAACTTGAAATTACACCGATTAAGAAGTGTGGAAATATATCTAGTTGTATCTAAAGCTTCTTTATTTTAAACTTTTTGTGACAATACTGTTTGCTTCAGTATTTAATTTTATGTGTGTGGTTTAAAAATATTTTTGATATGTAAGTAGTGGAAATAGATGGCTTCTATAAGGAAAATATTTCCCTATTCTGGACATTTCCTACCAATGCAATCAGACAGTATATGATCTTCTGTGACTGACTTCTTTAAATTAGCGTGCTTTCAAGGTTTACATATTTTAGCAGTTATCAGTTTTTTAATTTTTTTAAATTGCTGAATAATATGTTTTATATGGATATACCATATTTTGTTTATCAGTTCATCAGATGTTGGGCATTTGAGCTCTTTCTACTTTTTGACAATTATGAATAGTGCTGTTCTCTGCATACAAGTTTTTCTGTGTATATTTATTTTCATTTCCCTTGGGTTTTGCTGGGTTATATGATGACTCTGTGTTTAGCCTTTTAAGGAATTGGCAGACTGGTTTTTAAATTAGCTATACCATTTTACATTCCCACCAGCAGAGGGTTCCAGTTTCTCCACATTCTTGTCAACTTTTGTTATTATCTCTTTTTGATTATAGCTATGCTAATGGATATGAAGTGGTATCTCATTGTGATAGAAAGCTCTTTTAAATGGTTTGCTATAGCATTACTCACCTTCGGGAAGCTAACTTGACACAAAGACTATTAGTTGATTGATTTCTATATGCTGATTTGGAAGTCCCTTAAAATCATCAGTAAATATATACCTTAGTGTTTTAAGAATCTTACTACCCAGGTTTTACCACCTTTTAACTGTGATTCTGGGCAAGTTATTTAACTTTTTTGCATCTGTTTGTATGAGGTTAATAGTAGTAGCTCTTGTAGGATTATTGTAAAGGTTAAGTGAGGTAATTCAGAACTCATTGGCTATTAGTTTCTTTTGTGTAATGTTAGTTGCTTTTATATAATTGATGTTAAGAACTCAATAGATATTACTTAATTACTGTTGCAGTAGCTGCTACAGCTGATAATTGCTAGATCACATTTCATAGTGTATGAAAAAAATTCATTTCATATTTGAAAAAATTGATGTATTCTACCAAAGGAAGCTTATTCTTAAATTAGTACCGAGTGTTATTTTTTCATCACTGGACTGGCTCTGCTGTATAGTAGTGTTGTTTTCATAGAGGCACTGAAATACTCTGCGTGTATACTGACAAATAGAATTACTTTCATGGGATTTAGGAATTATAAAGGTAGTAAGTAATCTAATCTGTTGTTCTGTGGGAATTGAATTTCTGATGTGTTGCCAGTCTCTGTTATTCCAGCAGAATTTGTCAGTTAGAGTCAAATTTGTGCATAGACACAGACTGAGTAATTCTTCTCTGGTGATGGTTTTGTTTAAAGTTTTCATTTAAGAGTATTATTTACAAGGAATGTTGCATATTGATATTTAGAAAAGCCAGGAGGAATTCTATCATACCACACTGTAAAAAGCCAACTTTGCAAATTCTAGGTCTCAAACGTTTTAGGTCCAAATACCTCAGTCTTCCTTTGCCCTGTTTTCATGGATAGAGAGGAAGAAAAAAGCAAAGAGGCTTGGAGGCAGAAACAAAAGGAAATTTCACCTGGTTGATACTAAGAAAAGACCCATAGATTTTCGTCATTGTTTTCAAGGGAATGGCTACTTTTAGATCTCCTGACCTTTCTTTGGATATACTTTCTTTGGAAATACTCTCTATTTACCAGAGTGATTTTAATGTAAATGTAGTTATTTTGCAGTTGCTTTGGATTGTCAAATAAGAACTATCTTGATAAAAATTGGAGAGCAAGAAATTACAGTAATCACTAATGTCTCTGGGCAATTTTTTTCCTTAATAAGTATCTTTCTTTTTACCTTTATGATGATTGTAATCAGTTTAGTTTGTTTGTTTTAATTTGAAATAACTTGCCTAAATTTCCCTGTGGCTATAAAGTGGTACAATGATATAGGCTCTTAGGAGAATCATAGAAATAAGATACGTACTGCTTATGGAATTTAAAAAATATATATTTAGTTGACTAGGTCTTGGGAGTTGTCAATACTGAATTTTATGCGGATCATTGCAGTGGTTGTATAAGTTTGGGAAATAGCAGAGGCATTCATGTTAGTGTAATTACAGTTATGTCAGCATTTTAAAAAAGTATGTGTTTGGTGAATTTGGTTTGAATTACATGTTACTGAATTAAAAATAAATATTGAAAGCCTGCTGTGTATAAAAAACTATTAAGTACGTATTGTGTGAATACAGAGAACTATGAGGCATAGACATTGCCCTTGGGAAATTTATAGTTCTAATTTTGGGAGTATACAAAAGAGTAGTAATCTTGAAGAGATGGTAGTTGATACCACAGTATTTCAAAAGTACAAGGTGGAAGTTAACATCACATACCAGTAGGGCATGGAGAGTAAAGACTAGGTACCTTGTGGCAGCAGAAGCTTTGTACTTGACATTTGACCTGTGTCTGGAAAGGGTTGATCTTGGTATGGATGTCCTGGGGAGAGTTTGCGGTGTTAGGGCATGCTTCTCTGTAGAAATAGAATAAGCTAAGGTGCAATGACAGAGGAAAGCATGTTTAGGGGAGTAAATATGATTGGAATCAAGAATCTGTACTAAGGAAAATTGGAAAATAATAACTGAAAGATAGAATGTGGTTAATTTGTATGTGCAGATGTGGCATAATTGTCTCTAGTTAAATCAGTGAATAAGAAACT